ATCTTATCAGCAGTTATGATAAAGTAATAGTAATAATCATAATAACACCCTCAATAAATTATTCACTATTCTCAGCTCGTTCTTTTGCTGCCTTCAACATTTCGTCTTGAAGTTGTTCCATCATAAGGCAACGCTTATGACTTACTCCTTCTTTGTCGAATCTAAATTATGCTCGTTATTCAAAATGTTTTCTTTCACAAGAGAATACGACGATAGAATTTTGTGGGCAGTTCTTTTAAAAATGCATTAAACATCGACAAATTATTCGTATAAAAAATCAAATTCAACATTGAGTGACATTTTATTAAATAATTAAGAGAATGTGCGGAAATTTTGATGGGAATTTCGATCGTGTCATTGCAATCTTTTAAAATATATCAATGAAGCAGATAAATACACATACGTAAGAGTGTGTTGTTTCCAGTAGTTATTGCGTATTCTTTCCCAAGCCCATGGCGATTTTGAAGATGCTGTAAAATTAATCACAATAATCATAATTCATCACTTTTATTTTTGGTGTGGCAGAAGGTTCCCATGCAGCTCTATAATTTCAGTAACTCTATCATTTCATTTTCTTGTTCCCATTTTTGACCAGCAATTTAGACGTATCCATAGAATCCTTCTAATACTTTAGATTATTTCAAATGGTATTAATTGATGGCTTCTAATGAGGATGGGAAATTGAGACGCATAAGCGGTGAATAAATGAAATAACGATTATCAACTGGATTCCACGGGTCATATGTAAAATGGTATGTTTGTATGTCATCTGATAACTGTTATCTGATCATTGTGAATCCGATCAGTGTATCAATACGAGAGGTTCTCATTGAAACGATGAGACGAAATATGTACAAATATGTCAAATGCTACTCAATGATTTCAGTTTCATTGCGAAAACTTCGAAATAAACTTATCTTCAAAGCAATCAACAATGCGAAACAGTGCAATTTGAGTGAAAAAAAACGTTGGAAACTATACTTCTATCGACCCAAACTTCGATCTTGTCGAAGCTGATATAGACGATACCACAGAACAGCACAGCCCATACACCGATCAGAAATAGGATCGGATATATCTCGTAGGCATGACCAAGTCTACGAAGTAACACACTGAAATTTAGCATTCACGTCATTCGCGTCACAAAATAACTTCGATGTCTTCGAATAACTTCGAATCATTGCAATCATTTCATCAAAAAAGCAGTTTATTTGAGCTGATTATATCATTTATATAAAGTTGTATAAAAATTGACTGTATATCCTTCACATAAAGTTGTATAAAAGTTGCTTATATCAGTTATGATAAATGAAAACTTTGGAGAAGTTTAATATTAATCGTGAATGAGTTCTTTGGTGAATTTGGATGAATTGCTCTTCAGATTGATCGATTCTCGCAATATTCTTCTACATATGTCGAGAAGGTAATAATTTTATGACAATAGTTAACAAAATAAAGTCCAACCAATCGTTTTTGATTGTTATAATGATTCCTTCATTGAGATTATTCGCCAACATTAAGAAACTCATCGAGCTTTACTTGTTTCATGTGAATTTGCATTCAGTTAATATTGCTGAATCGGGATTTTTAATGAGACTATTGCTAAGAGACAAATTTTTGAGCATTGTTACCAGAGGATTTATGAGGATTTTCGATCATTGTTCTGCACACATTAACTCACCGACTTGGCGTATCACCCGGTTTTTGAGCTATATATTGACCATCACGAGACCAATCGCGTTCGTACTTGAAATGACCTTTCTCGTGCTCGGGCACCTTCAGCTGACGTAATGCTGGCGCCGGTCTTGAGGCACCGTTAGCAATGGCAGATGTTGATAGATCCGAAAGCGGTATCCAAATGAAGCGTTGTCGAACCACACAACGTAAATTTTTTGCCATCATCAACCGTGATAACGATGACATGTTTTTCAACTGAAAAAATATTAATTTGTGATAAAATCTGACTGTTAGTCCCATATCAAAACACAATCGAACGACTTTCATTGCATGCAAAAGTTTTCACGAGCAAGATTTATGATAGATCTTAGGCGAGTAATCCTTTTCGAATCCTTTCAAGCTTCCCATAGAGTAACTGGAATTTAAGTGAACTCTTTTTCCTGGGCACCACGAATATATTCAGCCATTGAACTTATAATAAAAAATTCTTTGAAAG